ACTTTGAGGATTAGCCCCGAGGACGATCAAGCAGACACCCACACAGCCCACAGCCTGATGACGATGAGCTAAAGGCCATATACAGACACGACGATGGAAGCCATCCAAAGGCAATGTTAAACCTCCACGCAAAGAACTCGTGGCACGCTTTCTTGGGCTTTCTTTACTCCACCACGAACGCTCTTTATCGGGGTCATTTGTAATTGGCAGACAACCGTTCACGCTACGGCCGTATAGCGGAACAAGAGAACATAGAAACATGATTCATGCAATTGGACCTCGGGTTTCATGGTATGGGTGGGGAAAAGGGGGCACGCACGGTGCGGAACTCGGGTGGAACGGATCCGAGCCATTTGACCCTCTTCGCGCTTCCTAGTGAGACAGACTTGGGAAATTGCAGTAACACTTTATGAGCCTAAAGGAGCCAAATCCCTAGGACGCTAGTGAAACTGGGTCGAATGTAAGGTGGAGCAAAGTACATGTATAGTCTTCTTGCCCCTTAGAGCTCAGTGGCGACAAGGTGATATATCGAAGACTGCCCTTGGCTGTGTAATATGTGCATATTGTATGGATATATAAGCGGATTAATTATCCATATAGTGAAATTAATACCCAATGAGAAACTGATCTCTTATTCTATTCTGTCACTAAGAAAGCAAAAAAAGGTCTAACTGAAATTGGCGTTCTGACTCCAATTTCTATCCCATAGAAAGGAAATTTGATTTCGCGTTGCAATCGTCACATCCCCGTTCTTAGCGACGACGTCTCCCACCAGACGTGAGATGAGTAAATCCTTACCATTGGTATTCTCACTAGACATCAGAGTCATTTTGTAGAATAGCAGCCCAACTTTGCCAGAGGATAGCCCCCAAACAGCCACTAGTCCGGAATAATGACTGCCTAGCTTATTCTTTTTTTAGTAGCTTTCTTTAGCTCTGATATGCCCAGAGATCCACCACATCATGCCTCTAAAAGTCATTTATGCTCGCAACATATACCTTGCTCAGTCTTGAGGCTTCCCCCCCGCCCTCTCCGAGGATTTTTGGTTAACGGAGAGAGCCTGTTTCAGAAACTCATTGTAAAAAGCCACCTCAGATATCCGGCATCCATTGCCACCATTGAACAATACCCGATAATCCACAACGAATGAAGACCACGGACAAGATGAGGTGATTTACATGTACTGCACTAGATCAGAATGGTTATTCAATTTGATCGCTCATCTCCGTACGGACCTCAATTGGCTGCTAATATTATGAGGCGCGAAATGGGACCATAGCCGACTCCGAGCTTTCCGACCCACTGCGGAGCCTGCCCCTTTCCCCATCTTGATTTTCGTCCCGCTATACTCCTTCGTTCGGCCCGGTGAACTGACCGACATCAGTGTTCCGTTAGCGAGATTCTACGTTGTTGGAGCGGGCCAGATATAATGAGTACCTCTATGTACCATTACCGTGCTGTCTAGCGCCGTTCAGAGAAGCAAAACGGTAGGCTAGCAGCCGCGGTAGCTCCGGCTCTCGAAGGTGGGGCTTATATGCAGGTTTACTGCGCAATGGTGGTCTAGCCCGCATGCATGTTCGATCACTTGATCTAGGCCCATGAGATCTGCGAACAGCCATATGGGACACTTGATGTCAGCGAAGTTAACAACACATCCGAAGTTCTTCAGGGCAGTGACAATTTCACAATCGTCAGAGCTGTCTGAGCACAGCTACTCTGAACCGAGATCGACAGTAAGATCGGCAAACGTTTGATCAGAGCGGGATTCCTGCTTACTCGCCGGCTAACCCACTTTCCAAGGTTCGTTTTTCTTTCATGTGCACGGGCCTACGTTGATCGTAGAGGTGGAGAACTACCATTTCTTACCTTACCGTAATAGTCCAGTGGATAGCCTCCACCACCTAGGGGTATCAACGTATCAACCAATCGCGGGATCTCTTCTCCGCCATATTTCGAGCCAACCAGCACGGAGTTTTTAGCGTATGCCCTAGCCAGAAGCATCGCGTATGATGTTCGAAAACGGCTGTTAATCCATAAAATTGTGATCGTCCATATACAAATGACAAATAGACGGGGGTGAGCGGCGTGTGTGAGTTTTTCGTACTGTGATTAGGATCCGGAGATTGACCGACGAATTAAAGCGACCTAGCACCGTTTGAAGCACTCGAGATCTAGATGCATAACTCAAAGCGCTGCACACATGATATAGAAAAGATTGCAAACTAAAATATATTCGATGCGAATGCGAGGATCATTCTCATATTAGAAACAGACAAATCTGAGAGTCTGAGTCATATGGCTCTTTCACCTGCTTGAGCATGACTATAGTAACATATTGGCCGATAGTACCGCGAATACGGGAAAACTCGTTGACAGAACTTATTTTCTCCACAGAAAACCGATTTACGGGCCGTGCGCTTCCTATCGATGCTATGCTGTACCACCAAGGTAAAGTTTGGATGACTGTGTGGTCAGTTATATGTTGCGCCAGTTTTTATAATCCCACAGCAGAAGAACAGAATCCAAGTCACGCACGAGTCCTCAACGCCTTATATTTTGATACCGGATCTTTGATGGAGACCCAACTTGCTGCTGATACATAATACGTCTAATAACACCAGCTTCTCGAGTGGACACGGGGGCATCTCATGATGTAATGTTAGAATGTAATTAGCTCTCACTGAAAACGGTCACGACGCATCATTGGATAGGATACAGTAGTATATAGCATCTACCAACCCCCCTGTAGGCAGTCTAGACCAAACGCTAAGCAAGGGTCGACGTCGGCGTAGTGTCCTATTCAATACAGCAAATGTTCACAGGTAGATCGGAATTACGTGGCAACAAAGAAAATCCCGCTTAAGTGACCAAATTATCGCTAAGGATGGAGAGCTTCGGGTCAAACCGACCAACAATAAGTGTAGAGGCATCTTGATTGGTACTTCTTTCATTTGCATTGCCACAACGCTAATGCACGGCAATATTTCCCAAACCCAAAACATGTCGTCTGTAGCATCGCTATGATGATAGCCTCCGGACAAACAGAAGTCATTCTCGGCTGAGCAATGATTGAAAAGTCCCAGCTGTCCCAGCAGGATCGATCTTGGTGAACTACCTTCTTCAGTGTTCTCAATACGGCCTAGCCTGATACTAACACTACTTTCTATGAGCCCTCGCTCCCTGTCCAAACAACACCGAATGTGACACCCACGAGTCTCTCATGAGCTGCAGAATATGGGTCATTGCGTGTTGTCTGAATTCTGCTGGAGAACGGGGCAAAAGTTAATTCTATGGATGATATGTATGTACTTAACACCATTGTCATGGCTGATACAGTCGGGTACGGGCACGGCCCGGACGGCCACAGAAGCCTATCTGAGAAAGAGTGGTGCGACACTGAGAGGCGCTAAGCGGGCTTGGATTTTGAGAAAGCTCAGAATGCTTTAATGGATTTAACATGATTGACCCTAATCCCCGAAAGCAATTTGCAGACTACAGTGCTGTACTACAATTCTATCTATTTGTGCACATGAGGTAGACTGTCCACTATGGATGCAAAAAAATTCCGAGTGTTTCCTTGGTTATGTGGATGAAAACTTGGCTCCCCAAGATATATCGTCGAGACTTAATCCTCTGGTTATGAATTCCTGAGCCTTCGAGTTCTTTTACCAATCCTACAAAGCGAGCTCGATATCCATGTCACAGAGTAAGGATTGGATTAGCGCTTCCGGTTCCTGATCATATTCTTGGTAAGAATGCTCAGATCACCCAGATGCCTGACCTAACAAGTTACAGAAGCAATGAATGACAGGGAAAAGAAATCATTGTAATCATAGTCCTTCCGCTTCAGAAGCAACGTACGGCTTCTCTGAGCGATATGAGAGGCTGCAGCTTCGAATGCAGCTCAGTTATGTATGATGCTCTTACAAAGCAGATGAAATTGGATGGGCTGCTTTCACCAAGGCCCCAAGCTCCTTTCACAGGATTGAGTTACCAAGGACTTGTGCACAAGGTGTGTTCGTTCAGTTCGCCTCGATGGCGCGATTTATCTTCAGGCTACCCGAGCTATTAGCCCCTTAGTTGCTTCCATTCCACTTTCGAACTCTTGTTCACCCACTTAGGTGATTGTAATAGAGGCCTTCAACTCAGCGATTATAGCTCTGAATTACATGGGTAAATTCGTTCTGATTGTTCATTTTCCGGATTCTCCCTCAGCAATGGAGGATGATGAACAACCGTGCAGCCCACTTCGGGGTTGACTCAACTTAGGCATTTTGTTTCCTCTTTGGCTAGGTGAATAAATAACAAGAGAGTAAGATCGTGACGCCAAATTAATGTTAATTCACGGACAAGATAGGTTAGTTTCACTTGGGCGGAAACAGAATTTAGCTTTGCATTGCCTATTATAATATTCTTTTCACAAGGCCAGTTGGCAACACAAGCGCGCTGCTCCTGTATTTCTCAAGTTTCACACTCAAGACTCAAAGATAAAATGGCAAGGTTTAGGGTCGACAGAGGGGGCACCCACGGCTCAAACGCCTTGGTTATGTACAGTAATCGTACAATATCGTCAAGTTCGAGCCTAGACCTGCTGGTATTCGGTCGGTTTTGTGCGTTCTTTACTCTCGATCTTGTTCATGGTGCCCCGACACGAAGGAACGTTGTGTAAGAGGTAAGAGTTTGTAACCGTATGCCTGTGCATCACTCCCTAACAATGAGGTGCCCTGCAACGAAGGAGGAGAGAGGGTTTAACTTAATACAGCGAAGTGGATTATGTCCCCGATTGATGATTAACTGCATGCTTTGGTCTAATGAAACAGATGATATATGCTCAGGCAGAATTCTACTTATAATCATCCACCAGATATGCATAGTCATCTAGCGTCGAGGCACCATTCAATACTTCATGCATCATCAGATTGATGTAGTTAACATTCGCGACATAATTCAGACTAATCCAAGAATTAGCTGTGTTCTTTGTCTTTTCGTCCCATCCACTTTCATTCGGACGAAACTGGATACGTGACCCGCCAATATTGTTTTCTCAGCTCCTTGATCAAAAAGAAGTGTGACCAACGCACATAGTCCTTGTCCTCGTAGTACGGCAGTGTTATGGGACCCTTTACATCCGGAGCATCTTCAAGCTGTGAAATTACCTTCGGACGTGAAAGTGTGCCCTCAATACTCGGCATCAGCCGGACAAAATCATCACTTTGATAACCCCTAGCAGCCATGGTCTCTAGAGAAGCCTGCAGCATATCGAGGTAGCTCGCATCGTGCTCGTGCCGTATGAATATCCGGACTAGTTGTTCCAATGCGCTGAGATTATTGCGTGATTCGAGTGCAATCAGGGGATCTGCTCCTCTGTTGAGCAGCATTTTAGCGAGTTCCGGGTTCCCATTCTCCACTGCAATGGATAAAACTGTCTGCCCTCGAGAATTTCTTGTGTCTATGTGAGCCCCGCGATCAAGCAAGAACATCATGACTGCTGCGACATCATCACGAGTCCTTTTATCGAGATAATTATCGGCACTGGCCCGTGCTGTGGCAACTTGAATAATCAAGGCCTCCGGCACGTTATCGTCTTTTGACGCGGACGCTTCGTACAAAGCATTGATTTCGAAACCTTTCTCCAAAAAGTACCCGATGACATCGACGTTCATCCCCACACCTGCGCTGACTAGTGCGGCGCAATGAGTGGGATGATTAGGGTCCAAAGTCAGATTACCGGTAGATAGAAATTCTTGGAAGATTTTCAAGGAGCTGTAATGTGCTGCAATGTGCAAGACAGTTTGCTCCTGGTATTCGAGATCCGGGCCGTTGTGTGCATCGAGGAGACCCAGTTCGCCGTGGTTTATCAGACGCCAAACCAATTCAAGATTGCCAACTTCGAATGCGCCGGCAAGCATTTTCTTGAGAATGCAGGGATCTTTCGTTTTGTCCAGATATCCACGATGCAGAAGGACCTGTATGTGCTCAGGATAGTCTCTAGCTTCGGCGAGCACGCCACTCAACCAGCCCTTTCTGGCTTCTGGTAGATTACCCGGTGGCCCGCGATCCAGCAACATATTAAAGGCGGGGACATTCTCATAGGTTAGTGTGTAAGAGATGAAATTCGACCATTCACGTCCCCAAACTATTCTTTCCGACTGTACCATTTTGTCGACTATGTATCGCGCAACGGTCAAATTCCCACGAAGTGTAGCAATTCTGAAACTCCCCGCTAAATGCTGCCAATCGTGGGATGAACCCCGCATATCCCAACATTCTTGATAGAGAGGCAGATCATTGCAAGCTGCAATCACATCGTAGAAGCAGCCTCTGGCATAGCCCCCACAGCCTTGATACTTGGGGCCAGCCATGATTTCCCGGAGGTCAACCCCCTTTACCACATTCGAGATCTTGTAGTCCGGCAAGGTGGAAAATTCCGCCAAATCCAAAATGTCAAAGAACTTCACACAGGGGAAGTGCAGGCCCATGTCAATCAAATATTGTACTATTGCCCCATGACTCCTGGCAGCAGCGATGCAAAGAGGGGACTTTGCCATGCGCTGGATGTTCGGGCAATTAAGGTCAGCACCGGCCTTTACGAGAAGCTTCACCATTTCCAAATTTCCCCGACATGCGGCTTGTGTGAGGAATGATTCGAAGAAACCGGAAAGAGTAATTTGTTGGTTGACGTCAACTCTCGCCTCTTCGATCATGTACCTAGCCAAGGCTAAGTGGCCTCGATTGACCGCGTACGCCAGAGCAACGGCCCTTTGCAATTTATTTACTGCCGCGGAAGATGCAAGCACTTTCATGACACCCAGGCTACCTTTGTTCGCGGCGCGGTAAAGGGTCCTTTCGAGTTCATCCTCATGTGCCCTGTGGCCCGGGCCGCCCAGTGATGAACCATATTTACATCGATCGCTTTGCAAAAATACCTCACTGTAGACAACAAGCAGCTCGGCAATCCTTGAAAGATCCTTATCGACAGTCAAATGGATGGGCGTTGAGTGCCCGGTGATGCGAAAGTATCTATCGAAGTTGAATCCATTGACCAAGAGCTTGTAGAGTGCGCCCGTGTTGTCGTTCTTCACGATACGCTCAAGTCCACGAGGAGAACATTCTTTAGTGTAATAGCTGAAGAGACAACTACTGGCGATGCTATAGAGTCGTTGACATGTTTGTGAGAGGGAATTAATCTCATATGCGTACTCTAGATGTAGCGTAATCATCTCCAGGATTTCAGCGGGTAAGCATAACAGATTTTTGATGTCATATTGCATTATCGAATAGGGGATGGAAGGTGGTCAGTTTAATTTTCGAGTGGCATGGGCAGTTCTGAACTTCTGACCAGGGGAGAGAATAAGGTTTTCCTTGGTTGGGGAGGGAGGAGGTGGAAGAGAGATTCGGTTTGATGGATCTTCCGATCTGGTTGATCTACCCTATAGACCCTTGGTGCAGTCAGGGGTTGACTACGGTTCTTCGGCCCCTGATTAGCCCGTGCGTGTCCCGTCACACGGCCTCGAGATACGTCCGATCGCTCTGGAAATTGCACAGGTTAAATTTTACTAATTACTCTATGAATTGTGAAAGTTTTAGATCGATCGGACTGATAATGATAGTATAGTGTAGTAGATGATCAAATTTTAGTGAAGATTTTTGAGGAGGTGCGACCGACGGAAGTCCGTACCGTAACGCTACTATTTACTATTGCACCTTAACTATAGTGGCCTATACTAATTTGATTACCGCGCGTATTTTGACTATTAGCGGTCATCTGATTAGCGGGCCCACGTAAACGGAAGTGTTCAGCTACTACGTCCCATGTAGGCCACTTACTACTACGGGTCACTATAACTAACCAATGTATTTCACTACCAAGTGACGCACACCACCGAGCGACGCAGTCCGAAACACATAGTAAATGCAATAAATTACAACGGAACAACTGTTTATATGAGCTTTTCTCTATAGCCTAGTGATTTTTATATAATATCTTGCCACGGCAAGGAGATTTAGAGAATTAAAAAATTTATTACTGATATGTTCTACACCGATATCTCAACAATCATGTTCTAATTTCATTTCATTATTTGCCGATAGCTGTTGATAAGGCTTTTCAACACCCTATATCAAATCTGAAGAAATTTAAAATCTAGATAGTTACCGTACCGAAAATTACATTGCTAGAGGACAGAAATATATATATCTCAATTACCAAGTTATAGAAATTCTTTAATCTCTTCTTAGATAATAGATACCACTTAAAAAGTATTATCCTCTAAGGGAAAGTCCCTATAACCTGCCGTTGTTGTGATACTATGTTGTGATTTATCGCATTTACTATGGTGTTTTGGGGTGTCCAGCTCGCTTGTGTGTCCAGCTCGTATGTGAAATACGTTAGCATAATGTATTAGTATTATTAATTACTATAAGTAAGGATAAGCTATTGATAAAAAGTTTTTAGCAATATATGAAAATATGATAGTCCGATCACGAGGCCCCCGTGTGGCATGTATCTTCTTAAAACAATAAAATAGTTGTCGTAGCATGCAGATTCCCCTCATATTGAATATATCCTTGTCCAGGAGAACGTTGTGGTATCCAAGAATCAATCACTATATCCTTCCAATACGTGTACCGCTTGTTCCTCAGGGACCCTCTTGAGGACCTTACCTAGCCGACAGGCATTATCCTGCATTTACTAGAACCCCCTTTACTTTACACAAGCAGTCAATCAAGTAAAATTCTATTTACCTCGTCCAGCTAACTAGTATCGAAGTGGCTACGCAGGTCGAAGCAAGAACTCGCTATCCGTGCCCCTGCTCATGCTCCATCACGCTCTAGGTATTTCCTAATTATATATCCAAATATGTTCTTTTCTCTATGAATAGATTTCGTGTTATAACTTTCCTTATTGTATCAGTATTCCTATCTAATTTTCAGTCTATCATTTTTCGATTTTTCCTGTATTACCCAGCTATCCAATCTACAGTATATCATATTCTTTTTATCGTATACTTCAATGTTTTAAATCTCTTCCATATCTAAGTTCTTCATTATATATCTAAACTATATAACGCTATTATGTATTAACGTATACTCACACTGTAGATTTACCGCACCAAATTAGCTTTATATACTCATAATATTAACGTGCACGGATTACCATTTTTAACTTCATCTAGAAGGAAGTGCCTACATAGCCATTGTGATAGATACTAGCTAGGCTCCAGCAGATTTATAGGACTTTGATTTAGAGATTAGCAATAAAATTATAAAATGTCATAAAATGATAAGAGAATGAATGCCCTTTCATTAATCGTCTCTGAAGATAACTGCTCCTATTCATATATTCTTTTTATTTACATCTTCAGTATTTATTTGCTTATATATGTGTTTTCCTGGCCCTCCAAAAACCAACGCCCAAGATATATGGATCTCGTGATACTGCCAATGCAACGAGGACCGGAGATCCTTGTGATCACCTAACCGCCCAATTATTCCTATCCCGGGGGTCGGGAAAGCTTCGCCCGGCCTAGGCATCGTGGCGACGACTCCTAAGGCCTATGTCGAGAATACTGATTTGCCCGAGTTAAACATCGTTAAGAGTTGTAATTAACTGATTTCAAGCGATTTACACTAGTTCTTCACTTTTAAACCCCCTTTTATTTGGAAAATAAAGCAAGATAAAATAGCCAGCTAGCCGCCATATAAGCCAGCTTTGATTCACGCCATCTCTATAGAATCTAATGCGGTTAGGCAACTACCTAGTAGCCAGCTTACCCGGGCCATTACTTAAAAAGAGAATTAAAAAAGTTAAATATAAGAACAATATAGACGTCTGTATAATTAAATAATATAAAGAATAAACGTCGAAATAAATTATTATTAATAATTTTTACTCTATAGTTCCTAATATATTTTCGCCCCTTATATTGTAAGCCGATGGGCTTAATTGCCTACAAAACTTCTTATATTATGTAAATAGGTAGACCAATATAATAAAGTCTTGTTCTTCCCTTTGTTAAGAATGAGCCCCGGTAATGTACTATAGTATTTATCAGGCTTACGGAATATCAGATTTTACTGTATCTAGAGAAAAGCGCCGATGTACTTATTATTATACCAAATAGGCTCTAATACGCTATCAGATCTTAATTATAGATAGCCAAGGAACATAATAATCAAAGGTTAAATAATATAACTACATTATCTCCTATAATTTATCTTGTCTGCCCTCACTGTCATACTATACTATTGAAATAGACATATATCCACTACTCTTATATGTCTCACTCTTTTACAAGAAGTTTAGGCTATGCGCTGGCCATTTGACTTGTATATCTGGAGTAATGTTATTAATAAAACACAGAGCAGAACATTATTGTAATTATATTAGTAAATAGTATAAAGCCAAAATTACAAAGGTAAATATGTGATAGTAATATATTAAAATAGTAAACCTTTTCTAAAGAAAAGGACAGATTAGCCTATTAACGAATTAATAGTAGAATTACAATGGACTTTATATAGGAAAATAATGAGAAGGAAAACATACTTTTGGTGAGGTTATAATAATAGCGTACAGTATAAAGGTAAGGGGAAATCCCTTAAGCGATATATTTCACATGATTGACACTCAGAGCTGACAGGTAGATCTCTCCATCGTACGCCTGGAGAAGTACTAGGATATCAATTAAATAAAAATTTTAGTTTATCTATTTTGAAACTTTTCCAATGTACTTTTTACAGTGGAGAGATATAGGAATAACGTAATATATTAGAGATATAAGGCTGTTTTAATAAGAGATATCTATAAGAATATATTAGTGAGTAGAATCTACATGTGTTTTTCCCTTCTTCCCCACCCGTTTCCCAACTAATAATATTGCCATTGTTGGTTGCTTCTTCTTGCCTGTCAAGATATATAGATACAAGCTGATAGCTATTAGGGCCTAAGGTTACTTGGGTAATAGAATCCTATTTTGAGGGCTACTTTGGCTATAACGTTATATTCTACTAAAGCTGTTCGGGCCCATTGTTGTGTGAGCTCAGCCCAATCCAAGGTCGGACCAAAAAGGCCACTCACTATGACTGATAGCAGTCAGTCATGCCACATTAAGTAAGTACACAGCAGCTGCTCACTTGGCTGACCTATTAGCAACGCAACCTAGCCTATCGGACCCTGATGGTCCTGATAGAAACATCAGCTATTAACGTCGCTAAGATCCTCGCTTAGCGGTAGCGTCTAGTCGTTTATTATAATATAATATTATATCATATTTATTATTCCTCGCTAACTAGCTATAGATATTCTCCCCCTTACTCATATATTACTCTTAGAGGCCTAGCACGTGTACTAAAAAACAATACATATATGGGTTTTAATTTATTTTAATTTAGTATAACTTAAATAGTCTTCCTTTCTTATGCTTATTTGTACACTATAATTAAATAATTCTCTTAATATAGCGAGGTAAGCTCGACCTATGTTTTTGCATTCGAAATATAAACCGATAGTATCCCTGTAATTAAACTTATAACTTAACTATGTTAAGTGTTTCCTTTTTCTTTAAAAGTAGGCATACCACTATGAGTTATAACTCTCTTCATAAATGCCCTAGGTCTTATATTCTTTGTTTACGATTATTTATCTTATTATTCGCTTAAATATTATCCTTCTTATATTTCTAACATATATCATTTAGTAAAAAAGTCTTCGCTATATACTAGTCTGTGAGAGAGTAAAACAAAAAGTGTAGAGTAAGTGATAAATTCTATAGAGAAGGGTGGGGCGAGGAATAGATCTATTACTTCTATGTAAAGATCACGTGGTCTACATGACTAAAGCCGACGGGGCGTAAGTTGAATACTATCATACTTATTCCTATGCATAATATGTATAAATAAGATATAATATAATAAGGGATAATAAAAAGGTAGAAGGCGGTAAGCGTACTAAGCGTATTTAGTAATAATCTCAAATAGGCTAATACATATTATGTCTTGGATTTCTTCAATCCTTTATTTATAAACATTATTTTTTTATATCCTTATAATTATACCGTTAATAAAGTATCGGTTTCTTATATTAAGATGCAGACGTTCTGTGATAGTAATAGTAACAATCTTACTAGTCTTCCTCTATCTAAACTTAGTTTAGATTATATACACTCTTAATAGGATTTTAGTACATAATTTTCATAATAGGTTTTTATGATAGTACAAGGGCCATAATGAATTGATAGATAATGTTTCCCATATCAAAACTCTTATATTA